AATAAAATAAAATAAAATAAAATAATAAAATAAAATAAAATAAAATATGTTTGATAGAAAATAAATGTTTGATAGAATCACCAGTGAAGCTATCTTGTCCTGGGCTTTTCCTTCTTGGGAGTTTTTGTTTTGTTTTTTAAAGATTTATTTAGGGGCGCCTGGGTGGCTCAGTTAGTTAAGCAACTGCCTTCGGCTCAGGTCATGGTTCCAGGGTCCTGGGATCGAGCCCCGCATCGGGCTCCCTGCTCGGCGGGAAGCCTGCTTCTCCCTCTCCCACTCCCCCTGCTTGTGTTCCTGCTCTTGCTGTCAAATAAATAAAATCTTTAAAAAAATTTTTTTAATAAAAAAATAAAGATTTATTGAGAGAAAGGAGAGAGTGTGCGCGCGTGTGCGAATTGGGGGAGGGGCAGAGGGAGAGAATCTTCAAGCAGACTCCCCACTGAGTGCAGAGCCCAACACAGGGCTCCATCCCATGACCCATGAGATCACAACCTGAGCCAAAACCAAGAGTCAGACACTTAATCGACTGAGCCCACCAAGTGCCCCATCTTCGGAGTTTTTTGAATACTGGTTCAATCCCCTGACTAGTTTCAGGTCTATTCATATTTTCTCTCTCTTCTTGAGTTGGTTTTGTTAGTTTCTGTGTCTACAAGTTTGTCCATTTCAATTAGGCTATCCAGTTTGTTGGTGTACAGTTGTTCACAATATCCTCTTATAATCCTTTCCATTTCTGTAAAATTGGTTACGGCATCCCCATTTTCCTTTAACTTTGATAATTTGTCTTTTTTCTCTTAATTTATTTAAAAGTTTGCCAATTTTCTTGACCTTTCAAAGAAGCAGCTCTTGGTTTTGCTGATTTTCTCTATCGTTTTTTAGGATTCTGACACTAATTCCTATGTGTGTATTTTATTCTGTACCACCCAGCAATTTTCCAGTGCCAACTGCACATCCTGCAATTCAACTCAATTCTGAGACCATCTACCTGGAGACAACCTCAGATCCACTTCCTGCTCTGGCACCAATCAGCTGCTTTTGCAACTGGAGCTGCTATCCCCACAACCATGAGGAATAGGGGATGGTGGCTGGTTCAAGCCTGGCTCTTCCTCCATCAAGTACTTTCCTAGTTGTCTAACCAGGTATCAGAGTTCTGAAATAGTTGATTATAGTTGCTCTTTCCACTTCTTTGTATTTAGGTCTAGCATAGCTGTTTTGTAACCATCACCACTATCTATTTCTAAAACTTTAAAATCACCCCAGGCAGGGGGAAGGTGGGTGAAATAGGGGAAGGGGATCAAGAGTACCCTTATTGTGATGAGCTCTGAGTAATGTATGAAGTGTTGAATCACGATATTGTATACCTGAAACTAATATAACACTGTATGGTAACTATCCTAGAATTAAAAAAAAAAAAATCGTTTTTTAAGAAGGCTCCATGCTGGGCCTGAACTCATGACCCTGAGATCAAGACCTGAGTTGAGATCAATAGTTGCATGCTTAACCAACTGAGCGACCCAGGCACCCAACTATACTGGAATTCTTTAAAAGCTGGTGGGGGGGGTAGTTTATGTAGCAAGAAAACAAATCACCCCAGACAGAAACTCTCTAACCATTAAGGACTCCTTGTTTTCTCCTCACTCTAGCCCCTGGTAACCTCTATTCTATTCTACTTCTGTCTCTGAATTTACCCATTCTAGATACCTCATTTAAGTGAAATCATACAATATTTGTCTTTTGAGTCTGCATTATTTTCTTAGGGGTCATAAATTCTTAACCTGCAACGCTGACTCATCAGGTTCTCACAATTGGGAGGTTAGTGCTACTGTCCCCACTTTAAAGAGGCTGAGACTCAGAGAGGCTAGGTAGTTTGCCTAAGATCACTCGGCCGGCTATTAGGCCGCCACCGACTGCACCCTTAGGTTGAGGCTGCACCTCCCCTCATCAAACCTCCTTGGTTCAAGGTGGCAGCAGAGGGACCCAGCCCCCGTAACCAAGCATTACTTTCTCTCTGTGATGCTCCTCCAGATGTGCTGGGGGCAGCGGAGCATGCTCAGCCCGAAGCATGAGGGCACTCATCTTCACTCCCTGTGCCAGGCCCATGCTGGGCCCCGTAGAGACAGATGAACCCCCCTGCAGTGGTGAGAAAGGGAACTGTAGGAGATCTCAGCCAAGCTAGAGGTCACAAGGGGAAGTCTAGGAGCAAGCGCTCTTGAAGTTAAGACTCAAAGGTCACTGATTATTTATTTTGCTTGCTGGGAGTTCCCTGTATGGCTATACCTGTTAACCCAATTGCTTTCCAGCCTATGGCATTTGGGCTGTGCCCAGCTTGGACTGTGGACAAAACTGCAGTGGTCTCATTCCTGCTGGAGTCTCCTTGTGCCCTAGGAGGGGGCACATGCCTAAGGGTAGGACTACTAAGTCTGAGTCTAGGTGAAGGCCCTACTTTAGAAAATTATGCCAAACGGTTTGCCAAAGTGTTGATGCAAATTCATACTCCCAGAGCCATGAAGAAAAAATTCTATCTTTTTTATTTTACATAGAAATCTTCCCCTCCCCCCAATCCTCTCCCCACCACCATCCCCCCATTCCCCATCCTGCTCTGTTCTGGCCACGCCTAGCAGCAAGTCAGAAGCAGGCAGAAGCTTGGGCAGGCTGAAACTGCCCAAGAAGCCCCAGGCACTTTGGTCCACACAGTCAACAAAAGACCTTAGTCTGGAGAATCAGAAGCAGCCCAGCCACATCTGGCTACAAACAGGAGCCTCTGACAAGGAGGAAGTCCTGCTGGTCTCACTTCAGCAACCACACATAGGCCCAGTATGTTAGACCCGGTGTGTGTGTTTGGGGGCGGGGGGGGCAAGGGTAAGTGCAAGTAAAGCACCGTTTCTGGGCCTCACCCTCTCCCCCAACTTTTTGTCTACCCTTGACCTTGGGGCTGGTCCTGGAAGTGGGGTCTTGCCCCCCAAACCCCCTGCTGAGCCAGTCCTGGCCTATAAATTGGAGGCATGTATCTGGCCATTGATCCGGCTCACTGTTCTCACTACCACAGGAAGGTGTCCAGCTTGGCCTGGGAGGGAGGGAGCGCTCTCTTCACCCCCACTCTCTGCTTAGTCTTGGGCTTGGGTTTCACAGGTACTGGGCGGATCATAGTCGTGTCAGTCTGAAGAAGATGTCAAGGAAGAGGCCTAAAGAGGAGACTGGGCAGCAAAGGCTTAGGCCTGGGGGGTGGGCAGCTCTGCTGTACTGAGGGAGGTCCAGCTGTGCACAGCTGAGGCTGTAGCCACTGCCCCAGGCTGGGGCTGGGGGTACAGGTGAGGGACGGTGTGGCTAGCTCAGCTCAGCCCAATGTCACAGAACAAGGATACAGGTTGGATGAATTTTGTCCGACCTCCAAGCCCATCGAAGCCTGTCCTTACCTAAGGTAGAAGGAAGAAGTGAGTCGGCCAGGCTAATAGGCTAGGGGGCTGGCCCCCTAAGAGGGCTGGCCCCTGCCACTCATGGGGAGCCATACTCACCGTATCTGTGCCGTGACAGGTCTCTGCCTTGGCCCTCTTGGGCTGTTTCTGGCCTAAGACGGCATTCCGGATGAAGACAGGAAAGGCACTAGCCAGCTCCTCATCTGGCTCTCCCACACAGTGCTGGCCGCCCAGTGAGAGCTGGGACTCCTGGAGGGGAGACCCCAAAGCCAGACTTGATGAGCCTGATGGCAGCAAAGGAGGGGCCGGGTCATGGTGGTGGAACAGGACCAGGATCTCTGATGCCTCACCCGGAGGCAGGAAGGTTAATGAGTAGAGTTCCCAGGTAGCTCCGAAGCGTTTCAGTCCTGGGCCAGGAGTGAGAGGGCTCTGGCAAGACCCTGCCCTCTTGGAAGCCCAGCTTTACACTCGGTCCTGGCAAGGGTTGGATGGTGACTGCCTGACTTCTGGGAAGGCTTACCTGCTTGGGGCCTTTGGGCATCTTCTTGGGGATGTCCTGAACGGGAGAGCTGCAAGAGCGAGACATGAAGGCAAGAGGCAGGTGAGCAAGACACAGGACCAGGCAAGCCAGGCTCAGCACATGGCCCTCAGGGAGCCACCATGGGTCACGGCTGCTGTAATGGCTGTGTGCTGGGCAAGGCCCCTCGGTCAGCCGCACTCCAAGTGCAGGTCTGTGAAGAGCTGGACAGTCACAGCTGCCAGAGTGGGGAGGGGGAAGTTGGACCATTTTCCAATCTTGTGGCTTCCACTTGGAGCCAAGCCAATTTGAATGCTCCCCAAGGCCTCAGGAACCTCACCGTGTTCTGGGCTCTATGTGGGGATGGAGGCCCAGCTGATCCACCACCCACAGGAGGAAAGCCAGTCATGTCCTGATACAGGCAGAAGGCACCTCATGAGCTCAGACTTAGCCGCATCTGCCCAGAGAGGGGCCACCACCACCCTAAGACCCTTGGTAGAGAGCTCATAAAGTGCTCCCATCACACAGGGCTAGGTCATCTTCCTAGATAATCTGTGCAGGCAGGGTCTGGGGGCAGAACTGATCATGGCCCCAAGCCCTGGCTGTTCACTCCCAGCTCCAGAACTAGACACAGTGTTTCCATCCAATTCCTGGGGACACTAGCAGCTGAATACCCTTTCCTGGTATTTTCCCAGGTGGGTAGAAGGATGGTAACCTAAGGCTGACCATGTGGCTTCTCAAAGCCACGAGGACAAAGGCAAGATCGGGCCTGTCAGCTCTGGACCCCTCCACTCCTGCCCCCATAGCCTGTGGTAAGGCTACATGATGACCATGGGAAGATTCTCCACTTGCTGCAAGTTTGGCCCTGGGGAGCTGATCCAAGGTGGAAGCATCCTGGGTTCCCTCAGCCTCCCTGCAGGCCCTGAAGATGATAAAAATGTCTCACCATTTACAGCTAAAGAGACGACATGAAGAAGCCAGGACGTGCTGCAGGCACTCATAGGTCCCCTGACGGCAGCCCGCACACCCAAGGGTTGCTTCCCACGGCTACCAGGCCCGGCCCTGTACAGCACAGGTGCCTCCAGCCCCGACGGTGGGGAGAGATGGAGAGTCCAGCTGGCTCTCCCTTTTGCCCTCTCCCCAGGCCTCTTCCACCTTCACTGCTTAACACCTCAATTTCTTTCTCTCATGTCCAAAGTCTCCAGTTAGGAGGAAACCCACTCTGCCCTTGACCCCCTTACCTGAGCAGCATATACCTACATGTACCTACAGGAGTAGTTCTCGTCTCCCTGATGAACCATACTTGGCCTGCCTGGCCAAGCAGACGACTTGCCCATTCCCAGTCCACTGCACCCCTAGTGCAGGTCCCACCCATCCCACTGCAGCTCCCCACAGCTTCTTATACCGGCCCCTGCGGGATACCCCCTTAGGTGGTGGGGCCCTGGGCTCCATGATTTGAGATGGTTCTAAGCATGAGCCAAAGAGGCACACAATGGAAGAGGAAGTTCAGAGTCCCTGGCTCAGGACTCTGGTGGGCAGGCATTCAAGGTATGGGGAGCACACACACCCCCCAACATCATCAACCCAGACCTGCCACTACTGGGACCCCTGTGTTCTCTCCAACTCACATCACAACCCCTTTGCCTGAAGGGTGGTAGTAATGACCAAAACAAGCAAGATTAGAGCTTTGCACAGAGTACTCAGGAGAGCAAAGAAGAGGTGGTCAGAATCAAAGTCATGGCCAACCCCAGGTGACCCTCACTGCCCTATCAGCCACTCGGAGTGATGAGGGCAGGGCCTGCAGAGACCTCTCGGTCATCCTCCCTCGGGGCTGTGGACAGGGCCAGGGACTACCACTTACTGTGCTATCTCTTGGCAGAGCTTCTTGGCACGGCCATGATGGATGCTGGAGGGCTGGGATGGAGGCGTGTCGACATCAAAGGTGGCATTGAGGTCAATGTCATCACCGAAGGCCGGTCGGCGAAGCTTCAGGCTCAGCATCTCCATGGGGGCTGGGCTATAGGCAGAGTTGGCCTGGTTACTCTGGACCACCATGGCAGTCCAGAAGGACAACAGTCCCTGAAGCATCAGAGATGGCTTGGTTCCAGGGGTCTGGAGCCCACACCTGGCTCAGGGCCACCCTTCAAGGAAGCCTGAATCTCTACAGAAAAAAACCACTTGGCTTAGTGCTTCAGTCATGGGACCAGTGAAAGTCTTCAAGACATGGAAGGAAGCAAGCAAAACACACACAAAACCCAAGTGTACAAACAAAAGGTTGCTTTTTGACCAAACAGCTTCATTTCTCAGAATGCAGTGCAAGGGGCAGAGATGTGACCACAGATTGATATAGATGGCAAATGGCACAATATTGGAAATGGTCAAATGACTCCCCAGGGGGCTGGCACTTTCACAGCCTACATATGATGCAGACATTAAAGTAGTGTTTCTGGAGAGTAAACTTAATAACATGGGGAAATGTTCATATACTACATTTAAAAAGTGATACAAAACTCTGTATACTAGGCGATAAAAGAAAAAGCAGACAAGTTGGACTTCAAAGAAATTTAAAATTGTGTGCATCAAAAGATACAATCGGGGCACCCAGGTGGCTCAGTCAGTTGAGCATCTGACTCTTGGTTTTGGCTTGGGTCATGATCTTGGGATTGTGGGATCGAGCCCTATATCGGGCTCTGGGCTTGGCACAGAGTCTGCTTGTCCCTCTCCCCCTTGCCCCCATGCTCTCTCTCTCACAAATAAATAAATAAAATCTTAAAAAGACACTGTCGGGGCACCTGGGTGGCTCAGTCGTTAGGCGTCTGCCTTCGGCTCAGGTCATGATCCCAGGGTCCTGGGATCAAGCCCCGCATTGGGCTCCCTGCTCGGCGGGAAGCCTGCTTCTCCCTCTCGCACTCCCCCTGCTTGTGTTCCCTCTCTCGCTGTGTCTCTCTGTCAAATAAATAAAATCTTTAATAATAATAATAAAAAAAGACACTGTGAACAGAGTAAAAAGGCAATCCATAGAATGGAAGAAACTGTTTGCAAATCATCTCTCACATAAAGAACTAAAATCCAGAATATAGATAGAACCAAAGCTCTATAATGGAAAACAAACAACCCAGTTCAAAACTGGGCACAGGGCCTGAATAGACTTTTCTCCAGAAACGATCTACAGATGGCCAGTAAGCCCATGAGAAGATGCTCAACGTCACTCGTCATTAGGGTGATGCAAATCAAGACTACCATGAGATACTACTTCACACCCACGAGGATGGCTGCTCTGAACAACAACAACAACAAAAAACCTAAACAAACAGAAAATAACAAGTGTTGGTGAGGATGTGGTAAAATTGGGACCCTGGGGAGCCCTGCTGGCCCAATGGGTGGAGCAGGCGATCTGATCTCAGGGTCATGAGTTCGAGCCCCATGTTGGGTATGGAGATTACTTAAAAACAAAATCTTGAAAAAAAAATCGGAATCCTTATGTACTGTTGGTGGGAATGGAAAATGGTACATCTGCCGTGCAAAATAGTACAGCAATTCCTCAAAAAATTAAAAATAGAATTACCATATGATCCAGCCGGTCCACTTCTGGGTATACATCCAGAGCTGAAAGCAGGATTTCAAAGAGATATTTGCACAGCCATGTTCATAGGCGCATACTCACAATAGTTAAAAGGTGGAAGCAACCCAAAAGTCCATCCACCAGCGAGTGTATAAGCAAAATGTGGTATATACATACAATGGAATACAATTCAGCTTTAAAAAGGGAAAGAAATACTGACACCTGCTACAACATGGATGAACCCTGAGGACATTATGTTGAGGGAAGTAAGCCAGTCACAAAAAGACAAAAACTGAATGACTCCACTTATATGAGGGATTTAGAGTAGTCAAAATCATGGAGACAGAAAGTAGAATGGTGGGTGCCAGGGGCTGGAAAACAGAAGTTATTGTTTCATGAGTACAGAGTTTCAGTTTTTCAAGATGAAAAGGGTTCTGGAGGTGGCTGGTGGAGAGGAGACCACAACATTATGTATGTAATGCCACTGGATTGTGCACTTGAAAATGTTGCTAAATTTTGTTAGGTATGTTTTACCACTGTAATTTGGGAAAACAACTCTATGGAAAGTACAATTTTGGTGCACACACATCCTCCTACCCCTTTCCCCACATACAGAGAAAGGACTAGAAGAAAATAAACCACACGTCAACAGCGACCTCTGCGCTAAGTCCGTATTTTCCAAATTCTCAACAATGAATGTGTTGTTACGTTTATAATGGGGGTGGGGGGTGGTATTCTGTTAGAAAACTGCAGCCACTAGGATTTTTCTAGCCCACCCAGGCCTGGTAGGGCTCCCTAGCTCCTGTGGTCAGAGAACCCTGGGGAGTGGCAGGGCAGCCCCAAGAACATCCTCTATTTCCTTCAGTTAGAGACCTTGTTATCGGGGCTGCCCAAAGCCCTACTCCCACTGCTCTAGGACGGAGGGATGCACTGTGAGGGTATGAGCCTCTGGCCGGGAGCCCACTGGGGCATGCTGATCTGAGGAAAGGGGACTACGTGCACTGATTCGGGTGGGTAAGCAATGTGGGAAGCTTGGACTATCTCTTCTTTTCCCTGACCAGGTCCCCAGAAGCTCTACCCCTTCTTGCCTGCAAGTGAAAACAAAGGTTGCACAAGCCCACCTCAAACCAATGCCATGCTGGTTGCTTTGCTGCCCCCTCTGGGAGCCACAGCAGAAAGTGGCAGCCAGAAGCACTCGTGGCAACATTTCTGTAGTCTCTGTTAATTCTGCCACTATCGACCGACCCCAGCAGGTCCTCTGCCACTATCTCCCACCCCAGAGGGTCAACAAACCTCATCACACCCCGCTCTCCACAGCCACGCCACACACGCACACCCCCAGCCCAAGCTGCACACCCTCGTGGCTCCCGCGTGCCCCAGCCCTGAGAGCCAGGCTCACCCCTCACTGAAGCCTCTAAATGCAAACGGCACAAGCACCTCTTTTCTTGTCATGGGATGTGGCCTGTCGTGGTGTGTGGTTGGGGGCGTTTGGGGCTTGGCCATCTAACCCTGCAGTCTGTCTACCCCACTGGAACACAAGCTGCAAGAGGGCTGAGAGAGCCTGACATGCAGCACGCCCTCAGTAAGAAGCAGTTATAGAAGTCTAGGCCTCACTCCAGCGTGGACTGGTAAAGAAAGTAAGCAAAGGCAGGTATGCAAAGTCCCTGGGAGCCTAGAGGCATCCCTCACTGTGGATGCCAGACACAGAGCACACGTGTGTGGAAATACCCTGAGGCCCACGGAGCGGGAAGTGGAGGGAGCACTGTGGAGCTTGTCGATAGCAGCCTTGAGTGATAGGCTAGGAAAAGGAGTTTTCCTTCCTGCCTCGAGGCAGTTTGAGTTCTAAATGTTTGACTGCATGAGATGGTCTTCGAGACTATCGGCTCCCTATGAGTCAAGCTCCTGACAGAGCCCTTGTGCTACCTGGGGCTTCCAAGCCAGCATGGCCAGTGGGCTCTGAGGGTGGAATGGGGAGGAAGGACCAGACACGGAGTCTAGTTTGTCCAAATCAGCAACACGCTGGACTTCACAGAGAGTCATGTGCCCATCACACTCCCACAGCCATTTCTCAGTCCAACCCAAACTGGCGGGGGGGCAGTCAGCTCTAGCTCCATGAAGAGACCCTGGAGGGTCTGAGGTAAAAAGGAAAGAGTACGGATGGGGAACTGAAGGTAAAATGAGAACGAGAGGACACCGGTTTGTGGGCACTCGCTCCCCAGTGCAGATGCTGACCAGGCAGCACGGTGTGGGGAGAAGAACGGACGTGCAAGGAAGCTGGTGGTGAGGAGCACAGATCAAGACGTGGCTCCCGGTCTTCTCACAGCCGGGTGTGTGCTTACGGGCTCGCTGCACGAGTGCCTCAGGCAGAGTGCCAAGAGGTCTGGGAGTGTTTGGTGGGGGGAGGAATGACGTGAAGCCGGGGGCTCATAAGCCGGGCAGACAGGAGGAGCGGAGGATGGGTCACCTGCGTCACCTGGAGGTGGTGGCCAGGGACAGACTGGATCAGGAGGCACCAGAGGTTAGAGGGGCAGACTCTGGCAACTGACTGGGTGTGAGGAAGAAGGAGCATAATGATTTTCCAAAGGACATTGAAAAGTGGCTCAAATAAAAGGCTGGGCCACTGGGTTATGTGCTTTCCGTCTGGGCCATCAGCTGGGCAGCTAGGCAGAACAGCCCAAAGATGCTCTTAGCTCGGCGTGTGTGCAACACTCAGGAGGAATGGGCAGCCAGTCCCGGCAGGGACACCCATTCCTCTGCCTCTTGGCTCCCTCTGCCGGCAGCTTTAATGCACACATCCGAGACCAGCGGAGAATTTATTTTGGTGATTGGTTTCATGTTTGTTTCAGAATCTGGGGCAGACAGATGCATTTGGTAAGCATTTCATAAATAGGATGCGTGAGGACAGTCAACACTCCTGCCCCTTCCCTACCCATCCCTAGGTCCTCTCTGACCTACCTTAGCCTTTCCTTGTCAGAGCCCAGAACTTGCCTCAAAGCTGCTTTCCCACTAAATCTTGGCTGTGTCCCAGGGCAGGAGGCCCACAGCCTTCAGGCCCACATGGACCACCCACCCGACCAAAGCCAGGAGTAGTGAAGACCCTTACCAGGGACTTCTTCCGGCTTATGACCCCTGCACCACCCCAGGAAGTCAACCAACCTCTCTAAAACCAGGCGGTTGACAGTCTCACTGTCCATGGGTGGCAGGTTCAGGGTTTCCTGCAGCATCGTTAGCTTTTTTTTCAGGCTCTTGGGGAAGGAAAGAGAAGAGTGTGAAAGGAAGGCTGAAGCAGCAAGTCCAGAGAGACTGTCAAGGACGTGAACAACATGCATGACAGGCAAGCCCACTGGGAACAGAGCAAGGCCTGAACCCCCAACATCCTGAACCCCTGGGATCACCTGGTCTCAGAACCCCTCTCTGGTGAAGCCTCTCCTCCGGTAAGGCTATATCCCTGGGGATATAGGTACAGGACAGGCTGTAGGGGAAGACCCATGGTGCTGTCTGTCCTCTACTGAGGCGGCCCAGGCTCCAAATCAGGGCCAAGGTACACATCCTGACCCATTCTGACCCAGGAGGATGCAGGGAACCCAAAACCACCGCCACAGACTGGGGCACAGGTTTCTAGGTTCTCGGAGGACACACAAACGACCCGTCGTTCCCGTCTGGCCAGGGATGTCCCTTACCACAATCTCCTTGTCAGCACTTTGTAAATCCTTCTGCGCCGACTTCAGCTCCAACTTGGTCTGGTCTAGTTCAGAGTAGACTGTCTGCAACTACAGGAAAGTACAGGGAGTAAAGGACAGGCCAGCAGGCGGCCCTGTGCCTGCCCCCACCTGCTGCTACCCAGTGCATGCTCATGGGAGCCCAGGGTCCAGAAGAGTCTAAGGACACATGGGGAGACCGTGGCTTTGTGGGGCTGTCCATGCCCATCTGGAGCTGCCCAGGGATTAGGGCTGCGTTCTATATCCGACAGCCCATGGATGCACCGGGCCCAGAGATAAAGCAGCTGGGACTGAATGGGGTTCCAGGTACGTTCCTCCCTACTCTGGGCCTGGGACAAAAGCAGGCCTCTAACACTGTCACATTCGGGATCTGTGCTCTCCAGCCGAGAAGTGCCCAGGGGCCAGGAAGGATAGAAGGGAGCGTAAGTGTGCACGTATTGGGGGGGGGATGCCTGCATGACCTGCCACCCTAAGTGGACAAGCCACAGAGCCAGAGCCGAGGCCCAGGAACCAGTCTCTGTGAATCACCCAGAGGCCCCGTGGAGTCTGCTGCACCAACAGGCCCCATGGCTTTGCTCAGGGGACAGGACTGAGCGCAAGGAAAGGACAGCCCCCACTCCCCTCACCTCCTGCTCCCCACTGTTACCTTGCTTTTGGAAGAAAACAAGTCCTTCTTCAGTCTGTCCGCCAGCTCCCCTGAGGCTTTCCGTGCTTCTTTTAGATTCTCATACTCTCTGTGAGGGGCCAGGAAGAGAGGCCAGAATGGGGTGCCCTGCTGGTCAGACCGCACCATGGCACCAAACAAACACAAAGCCCAAGCTGGCCCCTCAGCCAGTTCTCATTCCCACTCTGACACCGGAGCCCAGCAGGGTGGTGCTGCAGAGGGTCCTGCAGGGAGAGCGGGGGAGTCTCTGTTCCCTGCCTGTCCTGCAGGCACGGGTGATTGGAGAGGCTTTGCAGAGGCTTTGCAGGAAGTCCTGCCCTCATGAAGAGGCCCCCGATACCACCTGGCCCTCACAGGAGACATCTGGGATCCTCCATGCCTGTCAGCCAAGGAGCCTTTTCCCCAACCTCACATCCACAGTAGCAAAGTTTCTGATGCAAGTCAGGCAGAATCGGTGAGCGCTGATAGGAAACAGGCTCCATTTATCACGATGGGGCTTATAGCCCAGACAGTGGTGGCAACCTTCTTAGAAATAACATTCATGGGGTGCCTGGGTGGCTCAGTTGGTTAAGCAACTGCCTTCGGCTCAGGTCATGACCCTGGAGTCCTGGGATCGAGTCCCGCATCAGGCTCCCCGCTCAGCGGGGAGTCTGCTTCTCCCTCTGACCCTCCTCCCTCTCATTCTCTCTGTCTCTCATTCTCTCTCTTGCAAATAAAGAAAATATTAAAAAAAAAAAAAAAAAAGAAATAACATTTATGTTCACACTCATTCTCTCAATAACCCCATGAGGCAAGTTATTACTATCTCCATTCAGGAAGCTGTGGGTCAGAGGCCAAGAAACTGGCTCGTGGCCGCATGGTGAGAGGTGGGGTCAGGGTTCAAACTGAGGCAGCATATCTCCGGAGCCTGCCCCTTAAGTCTGCCTGCTCTGCCTTACAAGTGATGGGCAGCAGAGAGGGTGCCGTGGCTTAGCCCCCGGACTGGGCCACAGGGGCCGGAGCACGCACTTCTTGAGGGACACGCAGTACACGGCTAGCTGCTCCACCGCGGAGTGCCCCACACCCATGTCTCGGATCATCTCCTCCACCTCGGGCCGCTGGCTCTGGAGCAGGAGCTCAATCCTGAAAAACACCCAGCCCACGGCATTTACAATCTGGAGGCTGATGGGTAGGTACCCAGTGCAGCTCGGCTTTCCTTTGCCGCTGTTGCTATGGTGACAGCCTGGCCTGCCAGCATGCTTTAGCAGGCGGGTCTACCCAAAGAAAGGACCCATGGCAGAGCTGAACACAGCTGCAGGGACGCTGCTGGGGAAGGATGGGTGCTCACAGGTCCTCAAAGTCAGGGATCCTTGGAGAAAGGTCTCTGGAGCAAAAGACCTGCCAGGTCACCGGGCCATGGGCAACAGGAAGAGGGAGGACTGAGGCAAGGGGCCCCCTGGAAAGTGGAGGAGCCCACCGAGGCCGAGCGAGGACACCTGGGCCCACACCCAGTTGGCCTGAACCCCACATGGCCTACGGAGGTTTGTGCCACAGAGGTGCCAACCCCTACTGCAGTCCTAAGAGCTGGGCCCTCTGGGGGCCATAGGAGCAAGGGCAGAGGGAGTACCCAGCTCCAGGCTCACCGCTCCATGGTTTTCATCTTGCTCCTGAGTCGGCGCGCCTCCTCCTGGGCTTGTTTGCTCTCGTCCTGCTGCTGCTCCAAGTACTTCATCTGCTTCTGAAGAGCAAACACACCCATGCCTACCTGTTGCTTGGACAATCCCAGGGCCCATGGCTAAAGTCATCCTGAACCTCTACTCTAGAACTGTCTCCTTTTCCAAGTGCTGATAACCGTGTGTGCCCAGCCTCCAGGGAGGAAGGCTCCTGGGCCCCAATCTGGCTTGTGCTTTTTCTGCTATGAGGCCCTATGCCAACTGCTTCCTCGCCTCCCCGCTTGCTTCCTCCTGAGATATGTCTTACCCCAGGCACAACCCACTACCACCAGCTAGAGGCCCACTGTGGGCTGCCAAGGTCCTGTGGCCTAAGGGCTCATGGTGCATGTCATGTAGGAAGCTGAAGAAACACAAATCCAGGTCTCATTAGCCACCATCTAGACCCGAGGATAGTTATCAATCAGGCTAGGGGAGCTGAACCAGAGGCAGCTAGCCAGGCTGCCCTCAGCACAAAAGCACTCCATCTCTGACCTGGGAATGCTATCAAAGATGCCCGCTCTGCAGCCAGGTCCTGATTCACTCCTTCCCTCCCACTGGCCAGGCCACGTGATCCAGCCCAGCCACCAAGCAGGAACAGAGACAACGAACACCCTGGGGCTCTGTCTGTTCACAAAGATGGCTCCCTTTCCCTTTCAAATGGCATCCAGCAAGGACTGCTCCTTCTTACGAGGCCAGAATATCAATTGCGGGCTCAGATCAATCGCCTCATGCCCCTTAGAGAGCAAGAGGCTCACCAACCCAGGCTGATACAAAATTCATCTGGGTCTAGAGCAGCTTGCTCTGCAGGCTTTGATCTGCCCGGTCAGCTCAGCACAGCTGACTTCAAAGGCCCCCTGCTCCTCCTTGGGATGCTGTTTGATCTGGCTCCAGAGAGCAGCCCAGCCAAGGACTAAAGTGCTAATGGAAGGTTCTTCCGTCTGGCTTCATCGGTGGAGTACAAACCACTTTTGGAAACAAGGTTCAGCTTCACTGAGGTCTTGGCTGAGCTGCCCCTCCGAGAAGCACCGGGAAGGTCTCACCTCTTCAGACTACTCGGTACAAAATCCAAGCACAGCCAATATGACCCCTCACTTATGGACTGGATGGGTACAACATTGGAGGCCTGGGGAAGAAGGGATTTGCCTCTACTTTATAACTGCACAAACGAAGGTAATGACCAAGGGAAAGCCAGATGATAAGGCCAACGGACTTGTGCGCACAGGACCCGGGGACCCACCTTGAGGGTGGAGCACAGCATTTCGGCCTTGTCTAAGGCCTTCTGCAGAGATTCCACAGTGGCGTTGCGTTCTTCCAGCGTGTCCCGCAGGGTGTCAATGATGACCTGGCTGTCCCTTTTTTCCTTCTCTGCAGCAGGGGTGGGAAGGGGGAAGGCCTGTTCACCCATCAGCATAAGAACCTGAGCCCTTGGGCTCCAGCACTGCACCCCTGAGCCAGGTAAGGAACAAGTCCCCAGTCAGCAAGTTGGGTGGCCCACTTCTCTCTCTGGCATGCACCAAACCAGGGAAGCTAAACCAGAGTCTCTTCATTCAGGGGATAAGACCCTCTTTCTGCTTCTTAGAACTACCCGAGTAAAGATTTCACTGCTGTCCACTCCCATGGGTCTAGTTAATTCATCATCTTAGAACCCAAGCAGGTTTCCTGCCAAACTCAGCAGCCAAACACTCTCCTAGAAATAGTCTGTCCCATTAGGCAGCCCCCTCCCAGCCTCGGTCCTGGGCAAGAAGCCTCAGACAAGGAGAAGAAGCTCATCTGGCCTAAGTGGATGGCTCGAGGCACCTCCCTTTCCTCTCCTTTTCTGCCAATCACAAGAGCTGGCAAAACTCTTGGATATAGAAAACAGGGAGAGCCCCTAGCTTCACCAGAAGGCTAGAGGCACTCCTCCCAGCTCCCCGCCCCCGAACCACCTAGGTCAAGAGCTTCCCAGGGCCCCTTGTCTCTTACTAACTCACCTTTCTGGGAAAGCTGGGCTCTCGTATTATCCAGTTCATTCTACAAGGTAATATCCACAATAAGAAGCAGAAAAGCATCATACCTGGCTTCCATACAGCATCCCAAAAAGCTTGCAGGGAGATCCAGGAGGTGACAATGAGGCCTGTAGGTCCACAGACCCTGCTATATGTCACGGCCAAGCTAAGCCAACAGTGAAGAGATATGTCTTGCTTTATCTCTATGCTTTTTTAAAAAAGTAGGTAAGATGGAGGAAAATAATCTCAAGTACAAGACCCTGGGACAGGGAAGGAGGCAGAACAGGGGCAAGAGAAGCGAAGTTGGACCTGTGTGATCAGTCTCATAGCCAAGGCTTCCAGCACTTCCTTGGCCCTGTGCTGGCCCTTACACTCTCTGGGCTTCAGCTGTACTCACTGGGGACACAGAGTGGGGATGGTTAAGGACCTTGGGTCACCACTCCTTCACTCCACCCCAGGTCCTGCTTGCTTCAGTCTACTTCTCTCCAAGCTCTGAACTCACTCTGTGTGCCATGAATCTTCCAACTCTGATGAGGTAGGTAAGCTGGGACAACTTTACGTCTCTGGATGAAACCTCACACGTGCTAGGCTCTAACCATACTATTGTGAGGGTCAAATGAACCTCTTAAAGCCCATGCGTAAGTTACAGAGCCACTGCCCTAGAACCACTGAGAGGCAGGGGCAGAAATGAGCCCAGCTTCCATTCAGGAGTCCGGAGCACTCAACACCCAATGGGCAAGAGAAGTTTTCCATAAGCAGGAAAACCAGGCACTGCAGAACTGAAAGTCTTGGCCAAGGAAGGGTTCATGGCAGTAGCAGGATGGAATCCAGGCAAATCTTCCTCCAGATCACCCTTTCCAGGTCAATACAAGACTCAGAATTTCACACGTGACCAATACTAAAGCCCAGCCCCAGTAGGATAAGCTCCTTGCTGTGAAAATCCCCACCCAGGACTCTGGGGCAAAAGCTTTTGGTGGCTGGGTGGCTCAGCGTAGGCAGAACATCCTGGAGTGCAAGTGGTGGGTAGAGAAGGGCATGTACGTACTGCCAGAGAACAGACACCAACCCAAAGCTCCCCCGAGGCCCTGGCCCCTACACCTAAGCAAGGTACCTACGAGCCCTTGCTCCAAACTACTCAAGATGTTGTCTCTCTGTCTCCTAGATCTGGCTTTGAAAGCCAGAAAGAAACGAAGCTGCCTTTGTTGTCTTTATCACAGGGAGGACGCAGTTTAAAACCAGGAGCAGTTACCATGACGATGAACATGCTGGCTTTAAGCACAAAAGCTCTACGTTCTTGAAGCAGTAAGGTTCCAAGGACATCACGGCACCCTGGGGCCAAGGCCAAATGAACCCTGGGCTGACAGATGCCCAGCAAATGAACCCACAGAGTCCAGGTACATTGCGAATCCCAATCCCACTTCCTCAAGAGGTTTTGGCCAATCCAGCCCCCTGGTGCACAAAGAAAGTTAAATCTTGGGCTTGAAGGGAAGAAGTGTAGGGGGGAATTCACCCATTCTCCCCTGCGTTGTGGGTTTCTGCCCTGGCTCACATCCTGATTCCAGGGGTTCTGCCCTCCATTGCTGGTCTGGGAAAGACTCAGGCACCTGGTTATATACCAAGCTTCCCCACAGTTTTGAGGCACAGACAGGTTTGTGAGTAGTGGGTCCACACATCTTCCCTGGCTGAGGACTAGAAGAGTTTTCTGATCTGTCTCTAGCTGTCGAAGCAGCAAAGTGGGCTGGGAAGGATGGCTGTAGAAGCTCTGCAAGGTGAGAGAACCTCAGGAGAGACACTCTGGTCTTTGGTGGGAATTGCTCTGAAATCCCAAGGGTGAAGGCTCACAGTCACGTGGCTCCTCTCTTCCCTAACAGTGTATTTCTCCAATGACTGGGTCTCATCATCACTTTTCCTCTGCTCTCCTCCCCTCTGCCTTGAAACCTCTACAACTCTCCCTCCAGACTCCATCTCCACAATCTACACACCCACCCTATGAGGGAGCAGAGAGTAAATTTTCAGAGGGCTTGGGGTTCAGTAGAATGACATAAATCCTGGGTACCTTTAAGAATTCTGCATCTAAGACACTCTCCTCCTCTTGGGCAAGGTCAAAGAAGAGCTTATTGATAATGGTTCTTCTGCCAACCTGGATGGAAGGACAAGAGAGAGTATGACTATATAGCTGGGTCACGAGCAAGGATGACAGGATGTGCATGCAGCCGAACAGGCAGCCAGGCCTGTTCTCAGCCCTCACTTTTCACAGCACATCCCTTGGAATCAGATGAGCTCTGTAACCCTCCAGTCATCCCACGCTGGTGCCACTGGTTTGGTGGTTACTAAATTAATGTCACCGCAGACCCATGAGGTGACTGTTCAAAAGATACCCAACTCTCGGTGCTGGGCATCGAGGATGGGGAAAGGCAAGGAAGGAGGCTAAATTTACCTAGGTGAAGACCGGCCCGGGCAACAAGTCTATCTGCCAGCTACTCTTGGGCATAAGCAGGCCTCCTGAGCCACTTAAGAGCACAAGGTTTAATCAGCCTCAAACCATGAGGGTCCAAAAAGGTCAAAGATACTGTTCAGTTTCAGAGATCTTTCCTGATTCCTGCTCCCTGGCAAGGAAAAGATGTCTTCAGCTGAGGTTTTCACCCCATTGCACTCACCTGGATTCGGCACTGTGGGCAGGTCCGACTTGGTGCTGTCTCAAACCACTGAATTAGGCTGGAATGAGAAGCAGAGAAGCAGACTGGTGAGCCCTTGCTTGGGTAGGGACATACAGGCCAGGTAGGCACCCTGACCACAACAGTGTCTGACTTATTCCTGCTCAGCCCGATGCCTGACCACAAAGGAGGGCAGTACCACAGGTGGTACAGCACATCCCACAGGGCCTCACTGGTACAAGCACTCTGACCAGTTGGCCCTTTTTTTGGCCCTGTTAGGGTCCTCCCGACCCCTGAGCTGCTCTTTTGTCAGCATTCGGGGCTCTGACTAGGAGGGAGCAGGAGCCAAAGTTCAGGGTCCCTCAGAGATGGGGATTCTAGTAACACCCCCACTTTAAGCTGGGACTCCAAAGGGCTAAGCTTTCAGAGTAAGGGTAAACTAGAAGCAAATGCAAGTCGTGGGAAAAGCAAAATACAGTCTAGCTTCACATCCTCTATGTGAGTGGTCCAACAAAATCTCAAGCCTTAAACTCTAATTAGTCTCCTACTAGTAGACTCTCCCACCAGAGACCAGGGAGAAAGAGTCCTTTCTGGAAGATAATACCATCATCCCAGGCCTCAGTTTTTTTCTATAAATAATTTTCCATATATTAGGACAAGATAAACTCAAAGGTAGCCAGGCACAGTGGAATACTATACAGCAACGAGAATGAATGAGTCTACAACTAAGAACAATATTATGGATGAATCACATACACATAACATTGAGGAAGAGAAGCCAGACACAAAAAAAGGTATATTATGTATGATTCCATTTACATAAAGTAAATGTTTTAGTTGTTTTTTTTAAGTAAATAGACAAGGAAAAAAGCACTACACGTGCAAACCAGAACATATGCACAAAGACTTCAGATACGGGAATTGTCAGACACAACATAATATGGTATGCTAAGGAAATAAAAATCAAGACTGAAAATATCAGTAGAGGGGTGCCTGGCTGGTTCAGTCGGTACAGCATGTGACTCTTGATCTGGGGGTTGTGAGTTTGAGCCCTGTGATGGGGTTAGAGTTTATTTTAAAAAAGAAAAAAATATATCAGTAGAGAACTACAGAATAAAAGGTGACATGGCAGAATTTAATAAGCACCAAACATAAATTCTAAAATTAAAAATGGCCAAAATTAAGAATTGGATGGACGAGTTTAATGGCAGTTTAGGCACAGTTGAAGAATTAGTAAAATGAAAAAGGTCAGAGAAAACACTGAGAATTAAAAAGATGGAAAAATACAGAAGAGATGATAAAAGATATAAAAGATACTGTGAGAAGGTCTAGCATACATATAATAAGGAATTCCAAAAAGAAAGTACTAGGTGGAATTATGCACTTTCTCCAAGAAGTCTATGTCCTAATTTCTCAGACCTGCGACTATTTCATGTTATATGACAATAGCAATTTTGCAAATGTGATTAAGGATCTTGAGACAGGGGGCGCCTGGGTGGCTCAGTCAATTGAGCGTCCACCTTCGGTTCAGGTCATGATCCCAGGGTCCTGGGATCGAGCCCTGCATCGGGCTCCTTGCTCCGCGGGGAGTGTGCTTCTCCCTCTGCCTCTTCCTTCTACTTGTGCGCTTCCTCTCTCTCAAATAAATAAATAAATTTTAAAAAATAAATAAATAAAAGGATCTTGAGACAGGGAGATTATCCAGGTGTGCCCCCATGTAATCACAAGGGTCCTTAAGCGAAACAGGAGTGTCAGAGGCATAGAGAGATCTGAAGATGGAGAATGGGGCTACAAGCCCAGAAAGGCATATCCCCGTTTACACACATTGACTATAATCCAGTAAACTCATTTTGAACTTCTGACCTCTGGAACTGCAAGATAATAAATCTGTGTTGTTTTAAAACACCAAGTTAGGGGCGCCTGGGTGGCTCAGTCGTTAAGCGTCTGCCTTCGGCTCAGGTCATGATCTCAGGGTCCTGGGATCGAGCCCCACATCGGGCTCCCTGCTTGGCGGGAAGCCTGCTTCTCCCTCTCCCACTCGCCCTGCTTGTGTTCCCTCTCTTGCTGTGTCTCTCTCTGTCAAATAAATAAAATCTTTAAAAAACAAAAGCACACCAAGTTAGTAGTAATTTGTTATAACAAAAATGAGAAACTATATGAAAACAAAAGATATAATGGAATAGAGACAATATGTGAAAAGATAATGGCCGATAATTTTCCAAAATTAATTAAAGAAACTGTTCCACAAGTTCGAAAACCATAATGAATCCCAAGCAGGATAAGTAAAAAAATGGTAACAAAAAGAGCTGAAGTGCTATGTTATTGTCAGGCAAAATAGACTTTAAGTCAAAAAATGTTACAAAAAAACAAAGAAGGACTTTATATTTTGATAAAAGGTACAATCCAACAAGAAGAAATAACAATTATAAACATAGATGTACCTAACAACAAAGCCCAAAAATATATGGAAGAAGAATGGACAGAATTAGAGACAGAAATAGACAGTTCTACAATAAAAGTTGGAGATGTCAATAACCCACACTTTTAATAATGGGTAGAACAATCAGACAGGTAATCAATAAGGAAATAGAGGACTTGAACAACATAAACCAACTAGATCTAACCCACAAATACTCCACCCAATCACAGCAAAATACACATTTTTCTCAAGTGCACAAGGAACATTCTCCAGGATAGACCATATGTTGGGCCACAAAACAAGTATTAATAAATTTGAAAAGATTAAAATAATACAAAGTATCTTTTCTGATCACAATGGAATGAAACTGAAAACTAGTAACAGAAAAAAAAAACTGGAAAATTCACAAATATGTGGAAATTAAACAACACACTCTTAAACAACTGATGGGTCAAAGAAGAAATCACAAAGGAAATTAGAGAATACCTTGAGATGAGTGAAAATGAAAACACCACATACCAAGACTTATAGAATACAGTGAAAGCATGCTAAGAGGGAAGTTGATAGCTATAAACACAGACATTTAAAAAAAAAAAAAGGCACCCATTAGATAACTATTATAAAAAAACAAACAAAAACAGAAAATAACAAGTGTTGACAAGGATGTGGAGAAATTGGACCCTTGTGCACTGCTGGTGGGGTTGTAAAATGGTGCAGTCAAAGTGGAAAACAGTAAAGCAGTTTTTCAAAAAATTAAACATAGAATTACCATATGATCCAGTCATTCCACCTCTGGGTATAACTCAAAAGGAATGAAAGCAGGGACTCGTACAAAAACTTCCAAACCAGTTCATAGTAGTATTACTCATAGCAGCCAAAACATGGAAACAACTCAAGGTCCATTAACAAATGAAGGGATAAACAAAATGTGGTATTTCCATACAGTTGAATTTTAGTCATAAAAGGAATGAAATTCTGATACATGCTACAACATGGATGAACCTTGAAAACATTATGCTTAGTGAAGCAAAACTTAAAAGAAAAATATTGTATGCTTCCACTTATATAAGATACCCAGAATAGGAAAACTCAAGGAGACAGAGGGTAAAATAAAGGTTTTCAGGGGCAATGGGGAGGGGGTGATGGAGAGCTGTCATTTAATTGGTACAGTGTTTCTGTCTGGAATGATGGAAAAGTTCTGGAAATAGACAGCAGTGAAATAAAGGGAATTAAGAAGTACAAACTTCCAGTTATAAAATAAATAATTCATGGAGATGAAAAATACAGTGTAGGAAATACACTCAGTAATACTGTGTATGGGGGCGCCCGGGTGGCTCAGCCGGTTGGGCATCTGTCCTCCACTCAAGTCATGATCCCAGGGTCCTGGGATCAATCCCACATTGGGCTCCAACCCCACATTGGGCTCCCTGCTCAGCAGGGACCCTGCTTCTCCCTCTCCCCTGCATTCTCGCTCTCTCTCTCAAATAAATAAAATCTCTTTTTTTCTAGATTTATTTATTTATTTGACAGAGAGAGAGAGAAAGAACAAGCAGGGGGTAGTGGAAGAGGGCGAAGCAGGCTCCCCGCTGAGCAGGGAGCCCATGAACCCTGGGATCATGACCTGAGCCGAAGGCAGTTGCTCAACTGAGCCACCCAGGCGCCCCATAAATAAAATCTTAAAAAAAGAACACTGTTGTATGGTGACAGACGGTGACCACAATTATCGTGGTAAAGCATCGAGTAATGTGTAGAATTGTTGAATCAATATGTTGTGCACCTGAAACTAATATAATATGGTATGTCAATTATATTTCATTTAAAAAAAAAAAGAGCTCTGAATCAGCCAGGCCACAGCTGCTAGGGGAATCTTTCCTCACCAGCTGTACATTCAAAGGGTCAGCAGGACGGCTGGATCAGGGAGGACCTCCTTGCCCTTCCATGGTTCTTTGGTATTTTTTAAATATTTTATTTATTTATTTGAGAAAGAGAGCGAGAAGCCGACTTGCCGCTGAGCGGAGAGCCCGATTTGGGGCTCAATCCCAGGACCCTGAGATCATGACCGGAGCAGAAGGCAGATGCTTTACCGACTGAGCCACCCAGGCGCCCCCTTGCCCTTCCATGTTATCTTGGGTTTCTTGGAGTCAGTGAATACACTGGAGTGTCTGACCAACGAGATGACTCTGGGTAGAATAATCCCAAACCATCAAGCAAACCACAACAAATCGGATAGCCAGAGGCCTACCAGGTTATCTCGAAGAAATAAAAGGCCTCGTTAATTTGGCCAAAGTTTACCTCCGCCCAGAGGTGTTGAAGTCACACCTCTCTGCCAGCGGATCAAGGAGCCCCCTACTTTATCTTCACCGAACCAACTCTTTCCCTGGACTCAGTTCAGCTGTCACCTCCTCTGGGGAGTCTGCCCAGACCCGCCTCAGTCCAGGTCGGGAAGCTACGGTGGGGCTCAGGCTAGTGCCGTCTTAATTACCTGTCTGGGCTCCGCCCGGGGACCCCATACCCCACAGTTCTGTAGCCGTACCAGGCCGAGAGCCCGGCCCCGCCACTACGGTCACTCACCACTGCAGGTGGAAGGTGTGGCCGCAGTGGATGGCGGCCACATCTCGGGAGTGGTCGAAGAAGTCGGAGCAGATGGTGCACAGCGCACGGATAGGCATGATGACTGGTCTAAAGGGGATCAGGCAGCCAAGGAAACCTCGACCGGTCCAGCTTCGCGGCCGCGCCCCCGCGTCCCCGCAGGCTTCAAATTTGGCTCCACGGCGCAACTTCCGGGAGCGGACCGGAAGTGGTTATAAGGAGCCTGGAGGCTGGATCCGGATTGGACAAACCATGGGGGCGGGGCTTAACGACCGAAGAGAATCCTGGGGCTGAGCGCGAGACTGTCAGCTGTAATTCTCCAGAGGCTCCCCGAAGGATTCGGCAGGTACTCGCAGCAGCTATGCCGCCGGCGGGCCCCTTTCTGGGGCAAGACAAGACATTATGGTCCGACGCCAGATCTGGTGCGAGGCGCGCCGGGCATTGGCTCCTCAGCCCTGTTCTGTCAGGGCAGCCTTCTCTGCACTTCGAGAGTCGAGAAGACCGAAGCCACAGGGGAATGGGACGATGGTCCCGATGGAGAGTGGCCCTCTGGGCTCTGGGCAGTGCTCAACCGTACGCCCGTAGTTGCCACAGACTAAAAGAATGACCCACCCTCTCAGCCTTCGGCTCTGAGTGGTCCTAGAAAGATGGACACAGGTCCTAATCCCTCAGGACACCCCAAGCTTACTCTGGCTTTATCCAAGCAAGGCATGATGATGATCCCTAAGTTTGGAGGCAGCAAGGCCAGTTACCCTGACTTTAGCTCTTAGCTCCCAGGAGGATCAGCATGCCTCTGGACTGTATAGTGGGGTTAGAATTTTGGAGGCCCAGATGCTTCATAGACCAGTGACTAACAAAGCCTTTTATTGATTCCTACATCAGAGAAGTTATCTTTGGGGTTCTCCCCGAGAAAGAGCAGCATCCCTGGTGAATTCATCTGGGCCAGTCAGGACTGGAACAAGTCTTCCTAGGAATTTTCATGCTTAACTATTTTTAGCAGTGTTACTACCCTCTCCCCAGAAGAAAGCTTATGTAGAGCCCCATGATCTAACGCTGATTTGTTCCACCTGAAGTAGACCCAGAGTGAAGTTCTTTGGGCCTGTATGGAAAGCACAGGCATTGTCCACAGGGAGGAGGAATCAACACAAAGGGCAGCATAGAACCTTTGTGCAATGCCCACCCTGCACCCTCTCCCCAACCCAGGGAAGCCCACTTTGTCCATGGGCAAGGTCTCTCCCTATGGTGGCTGGTCTGTGGTGAGTTTCAATTATATGCCTAAGTCAAGACAAGGGCTCCTTGTTCAACAGGACTTGTCAGAACAGCAGTCCAGGGGGTTTTCCTTGGCACAAGCCCAGGACAGGACCCACCACCCACATGGATTTCTAGAGTCCAAAGGACCCGCCACAATCAAGGAACACACAGTGGTAAAGAATGATCTGTACCCAGCCCAAGCAATCCTCATGGCACTGAGCACAGACATGTGAACCTACTCCCAGCCTCTTCCCTCCCCACTGCCTTCCAGGGGCCCCTCCCCAGTAAGACAGAGGAAGCAAAGGCAAGAGGATGGCCAGAGGCTTTGGCAGGGTGACATTTATTTGCCAGGTTCAGCAGGCACACAGTTAGCCTACCGACCTTCATACACCAGAGCAGACCCACAGGCATGCAGGGAGAAGGGCAGGACTGCCACTGGAGTGCCGAGCAAAGGCCCGGACCAGTGTGGCTGCCTGCCCAAGCTGTGGTGGGGTCTGACAAAGGGCACCTGCCAGGAGCCTCCATCAGGAAACTGGGGAGCCTTATTCCACTTTCTCATCCCAGTAAAAGCAACTCAGCATAGCTCAGAGGCACCTGGGCCTCTCTCTAAGCCCTGACAGAAGGGGAAATGGGTCACAGACATAGAGGGGTGGGGGTGGGGGTTCCTCTCTATTTTATTTTTCAATTAGGAGAGCAGAAATCTGCCCCTGTGAAGGACAAACCTCAAATCAGATTATGGGACACTGCCATGTGGCAGGCCCCCTGGGATGGAGAGGACTGTAGCCTGAGCCTGAGGAACACCATCAGAGAGGAGCCAAGGGCTATCAGCCTTCCCTGTCTGGCTCAGGGTAAGGACCCAGCTAAGCTGGTGCACTAGGTACTGGGCCTGCACTCTGCCTTCCCAGTTTTCATTGCCACATCCCAACTGTTCCCTCCTTCCCCTTACAGGCTCATGAAGCTCAGGGCACAGGGCAACCCACTGCAGAACCCAGGAGGGCAGGAAATAGCACAAGGATATTATTGGTGGGAACTTTCCAGGAACAAAGGTGGACATTTCTACCCCCCTACTCATTCTCTTTCACTTCTGAGGACCCCCAAAGCTACCAAGCAGTGCCCCCAACCATGCGACCAGTCTTGTCTTAAAGCATACTGCCCTAGATTTGTACATTCTCTATACCAGCCTGTGTCCATTCTTAGAGCAGCCCACATACCACAGGCACATACCTTCATGTGCAGGAGCCTAAGACCGCTGACAGGGCCTCGCTGGAGGACCAGCTCTCAGGGCAAGGCCACCCAAGTTTAGGGCCTGGGAGAGGATGGGACCTGCAGGGCCTGCCTGGGGAAATTGTGAGGCAAAAAGGGAAGGGGAAAGGGAGCAGGGACCTCCTGAGTATCCCTAGAGCAGCATCCCGCAAGGAACAGAAACTGGTGAAGCTAGCGAAAGACAGAAAAGCCACAAGGAATCCATGCAGGGGCTGGGGCCGGTCCTGCCTCTGGCCTGCCCACCACTCACGCACATACACACAGGAGATGAGACTGCTCTCCCGTGGCCCCCAAACATGCCCCACACTGGGAGGCAGGGGCAGGAGGGAGCAAGGGCATCATGCCAGTGACTCTTATGTACAGTGAGAAGCCCCTCATCCACTCTCCCACCCTCCTGCCCGCCCCCTGCCCCACACCAGCCTGCTCACTCAGCTGGTCTCCTCCCTCCGAGACTCCTGGGCATAGCCAGCAGCCTCTTCCCCTTTACTAGAGGGTGGGGCCTGGCCTGTTGTGCCCCCGGGGGCTGTGCTGTCCGGCTGGGCCAAAGCCGGCTCAGGGGTGGCAGCTGCCTTGGTGGCTGGTGTGACACTGCTTTGAGTGGTGGACATGGTGCTCTCTTCCATGGCTGGTGTGGCTCTCCCATCAGTGGCTGGAGTAACACTCCTATCGGTGGCTGGGGTGATGCTCCCATCGGTGGCTGGGGTGATGCTCCCGTCGGTGGCTGGGGTGACACTGCCATCGGTGGCTGGGGTGGTACTGCCATCGGTGGCTGGGGTGGCACTACGGTCTACGGGGGCTACATTATCGCTCTTTGCGGCAAGAGCAACAGCACCCGCTGTGGCTGAGGTGGCACTGCCCCCAAGGGCTGGGGCAGCCCCACTTGCAGCTGCGGCCCCACCTACAGCCCCAGCGGTGACAGTGTCTGTGGCTGGGGCAGACTGGGCTGTCGCTGTGCTGGACTGCTCCGGGGCCCGGAGCCGTTTCATGAGGGTGGTCACTCGGACAGCCTTCTGAAAGGAGGGCAGTGGAGAGAGGCCCAGAGTGAGGCTTACAGAAGCCAGATCCGTTCCTTGGCAAGAGCAAAAGCCAGACCATTCTGAGCCAAAGCCTCTGACCACCCCAGGGGAGGTCAGGGACCCAGCTGCTCACACACCCACATAAGGCAGTGACAGTGGCTACAGCCACACCTGATGGCTGAAGAAACGCCTTTCTGTGGCTGCAGGGGTGTGATACAGGCAAGAGACTGTGTGTGCCAGAAGGAGCTCTTGGGATCAGTCCAAGAAAGGGAGTCATCCGAGCCTTACCTTCCACTTGGCCCTGGCAAAGTTCTTTTCAATCTGGGCACAGACACCATCCTTGATGTTCTTATCAGAAGCAGCATTGCCAGAAATCCTAGAAAGGGTGCAAGTGCATCTGGATCTGAGGGGGTACAGGCCTTCATGGAGACTGCCCAGCCCTCTTCTCCTAAGATCCAGAGGTTACCAGGCAGGCCCTCTGGGCTGGGCCTGAGCTCTGGGCACCCCCAGCCCCTACTCAAAGCCTCAAGGATGGGGGCTACTAGATGTGAGGAGGACTAGGCCAAGGGAAACCTGGCCTCTCCTTCTGTCCTCCATGGGCCCTGCTCACCACTCATGGGAGATGGCCTCTTCTGCGGTGATGCGCTGGTCTTGCTCCACCTCCATCAGCCTTGTTACCAGGTCTTTGGCTGGGGACAAAGCCAGGGAGAGGCTAGGCATGGGCACCTCATCTCACTGTCTACGGGTGATGAATGGGCTGGGAGGTAGGAGCAGAGTCCAGCAGAGAAGGCTGAGAGCAGGTCCCCCACACCAACCCTTCCCTTTACCCACATGCTGGGCACCTCCTCACCCGCCTGTGAAATATCATCCCAATATGGAGAGTCAAATTCATAGTCGCCAGCCAGGATCTTGCGGAAGAGGTTCTTGTCATGGTTCTCATAGTCATCTTCCTCTACCTCCTCATAGAAGGGCGGGTTCCCTGAAAGCCTGCATGGGGGGCCAAAGGGCAGGGTCACCCAGGAAAGCCATGGACACAGGACCCCACCCGGCCTGGCTGCAAGCCTGTTTGCCTGCCCATCTACTCACAGGATGTACATGATGACTCCAATGGCCCAGCAGTCCACAGGGCGTCCATACCGCTGCCGCCCTACCACCTCTGGGGCTGCAAACACAGCGTCCATCTGCTGGTCAGTATCAGACCTGGCCAGGCCTGGTACCACTCACACCACTTCCTGGGCTAGACACTTCCTTCCCCCACCCCTACCCAGAGCCACTCCTTAAAGGTTGTCTCCCACCCTGCCCCTGCCCCACCCCCTGCTTGCCCAGGTACTCGGGAGTCCCACAGGGCTCCTTGATGAGGCCATTCTCTAGCTTAGCCAAGTGGAAGTCACTGATGACGATCTTTGAGTTCTTCAGCCGATTGTAGTAAACCAGGTTCTCCAGCTGCTCCGCGCAGGAATGACATGTGGGTGAGCAGAGGAAGACTCCATGAGGACCCCAGAGGCTAGACTAAGACCCCAAGGTGCTGCCCACCTCAGCCCCAGGCTGGCTGCCATCAGACCTGGTTCCTGGCCTCACCTTGAGGTTCCTGTGCACGATCTTGAGTGAGTGCAGGTAGGCCACGGCCTCCAGGACCTGCC